AGGCAGTTGGCTCTGTCTTTGGAACAGCTGTTCCCGCAAGTTCTGTTGGTAGCGTTTCTGCTTGGGAACTACGGTATAGAACGGCCCGGGAAACCGGTACGGAACTATGGCTCAGTAACGGTGTCGTATTCCCGTGGCGATCACAAACTGGTCTTTTGCCCGCGTGCTCAGAATACGGTAGTATCAGCGTTTACAAAGCACTGCGTATGCGGTGTCAAAATACGCCAATTCCTAGCTCGGCCCACCACTTCCTGAAGGGAGAAAGATGTAAAATCGAATTATCGCCTCCTTGTTTCAATGCCCACCTGAATTCACCCTTGTTGGGCTGCACTCTACTTCTTTCCGACTGGGTCCTTTCCACCATTTCTGACCAAATACTGTTTTACACTTTAGGAAATGCAATTCAATGAGCGTGCGGGGTGTACTAGACAGGCAGTAACTCATACATTGGCATGTTAAGGACTAAGAAATTACTATGCCAGGCCCTCTTCTGCTACACCCTCGCCTTACACCGCAGCATCCACAGTGCTCCTGCATGTTGCCTACAGCTGTGGCTTGCTTTGAAAGAAAAAACCCAAACCACAACAAAACTGAAAGAACCAACCAAACCGAACAGCCCTCACTCCCCAACATCCTCTTCCCTCCCTACCTCTTCTCCCAGAAGCAAAAGCTACATTGCTAAGTGCTCATTTGTCTTACTGGTGGCTTTCTATAGAGAAGGTTGACTTCCACAAACCCCATCCAGAGGGGAGCAATGGATGCCTGCTCCCTACTTGTTCTGGCTGCAATTACTGCTGTGGCTGTTTGGGGGTGGTTTCTACCACTCTTGGGCATACACAGTTATCAGTGGAAACTGGGGCAGACAGTGATGTTGTCATTCTAATACAGTGTGTTTTCTTGTTTGATTTTTTTTCCTTCCCTTGGACTACATCAATCATAATTGCCATTTAAAATGGTAACTAACTAAGTAATAGAAGCTTTAAGATCTGCTCATCATCCTTGTAAACGCGTAAGACTGAAACAGATGGGGTGGTTGGTGTGTACCTATAGCATTAGGAACTGTGGTATGATGCAACTGATCTTTCTAATCCAACATGATAATGAGATAGGAACTATGTACTTGGTGGCCGCTACATTTTTACAATAATACATGTGTCAGTCACAGTTGTCTGACAGAAGTCACAATGGCTTTAGCTTATGGGTTTCTGTGGTTGTATTTACATGCACCATAGTCTCAAGACAAAACAGAAATCTAATATTAGCAAAAGAGCTTTAACAGAGTAAGTACACAGATGAGAAACTTTCATCACTTAAAGGCATGAAAGTTACTAGTTTACAAAGATGGAAATGTGTCTGAAAGTGTTAGCATGTGCTGACAAGTTTTGAAGTTGTTAAAATAAGCAGCAGTGGCCACTTGCTTCTGATTTCTTTCTTATTTGAAGACCGATCTTCAACAGAAACATGCTCTAAATATGCTTATAAGATCTTATGGCTAATCCTTGGTGCACAGTGGGGAAAAATGACTGCCATTGCTACAACTGAAAAGGCAGGCTGTACGTGCCTAGTTTTGCTGGAGGGCTGGCTACCTCTATCTACTCTTTGTGTTCAGGAACTGGAAAGCCCCTACTTAGGAACCCTGTGCACTTCTTTTGATACTGAACATCTATCATCAGTCCTGTGTACTCTTACTTATTATTTACTTGTTTTCTTTGAGGTGTCTCAAATGGTCACCAGAAGCACCATTGTAATTAATATGCTAAAGCAGTACTGTCGCTAGTAGGATCACACACACAAAAGAATGCTTAGGCCAACAGAATTTAGTGCAGAACACCTGCTAAGGAGCCTACTGACTGCCAGCTGAGAAGGGTCTCTTGGTACAAAAAGTTGCTCTTCATATGGTTAAAAATAAGTAATTTTTTGCTGCCTCTAAGAACCCCCATTGATGTGGATCACTGGAGAAGGGGACTGAGCTCTTCCATCTAATCCCTCAGAATATTCCACGGCTAAGGGCAAACATGTTAAGGGGCTATAGAAGGTCAGGTGGAAACTTGGTGAAAGTTTGACTTAATCTTCATTTCTCCCAGATTACCCCTGGTGCAAGCTCTTCCATGTCTCTCAGTGGACAATGTATGCTAAGGGTGAAAGAATGCAATATTAGAATGGGATCGTGGGAGATTTTGAAATGCCCGGGCACTTCCTTAGGCAGAATTCTTACTACAGCAGTGTCCCTGGTTTTACTTCACACTTTTACATCACCTTCAGGGGATATATGGTGCTGTAGCTGTTGTGGTAAGCAAAGGCTCAGGTTCTGCAACGAGTCAGTCAGGGCACTGGTGCAACATCACGTTGTCAGCCGACTGTCTGTCTGTCGCAGGCTGGGCTATAGAGGCTGTCTCACTACAGAGGGAGGTAACAATCGGTTGGAAGGGAGGGAAAAAGAGAGGCTATTTGGAGCAAGAGAGGCTGAGGAGGACATCGAACTGTAATTCACAAAGAACCTGCAAATACAGAGTTCTCAGC